CCCAATTTAGGAATTTGGGGCCAAAGTTCAGAAGTTTCTCCCTTTTCTTTTGTAGTCCCCGATTAGATTTTGTTCAAAATTCCAAAAGACAAATCAACCCATAAGTTATTTTCGACGGCAGTTTGAATTTCTTAGGTGAGATATTAAAAAAGTACTCACAATTTCTCAACCCTCTATTAGTGAGATAGCAAAAGTTTGGGCAAAGAAAATCCTTACTTATGAGGGGCAAATAAAAAGAATTTTGAAGTCAAATTCAGGGCATCAATTTCAGACTATACTATAAGGCTACAGTAACCCAAACAGCACAGTACTGGTTCACAATAGACACAGCCCAATGGAACAGAACAGAGAACTCAGAAATAAAGTTGACAAATAGGTAATTTTGGGGAAAAGGCCTCCCTATTCCATAAATGTTGGTAGGATAGCTGGCTAACCATATCCAGAGGAATAAAACTGGACCCCTACACCTCTCACCATACACAAAAATTAACTCGAGATAGATTAAAGATTTAAATGGAAGACCTCAAACTATAAGAATCCTAGAAGAAAACCTTGGAAACACCATTCTGGGGATCAGCCTTGGGAAAGAATTTCTAAGTCCTCAAAAGCAACTGCAACAAAAACAAAAATTGACAACTGAAAGCAAATTAAACTAAACAGCTTCTGCACAGCAGCCAGGTGCGGTGACTCACACTTGTAATCCCAGCACTCTGGGAGGCCAAAGCAGGTGGGTCACCTGAGCTCAGGAGCACAAGACCAGCCTGGCCAACATGGCGAAACCTCATTACTACAAAACATACAAAAAAAATTATCTGGGCATGGTGGCACATGACTGTAGTCCCAGTTACTTGAGGGCCTGAAGTGGGAGGACTGCTTGAGCCCAGGAGGTTGAGGCTGCAGTGAGCTGAAATCCTGCCACTGCACTCCAGCCTGGGTAGCACAGTGAGACCCTATCTCCAAAAAAACAAAAAGAGCTTCTGCATAGCAAAAGAAACTATCAGAGTCAACAGGCCTTTGCTTGAGAGTGCAAAAACTAATATCCGGAATCTATAAGGAACTTTAAACAATTGAACCAGCAAAAAACAAATACACACATTAAAAATGCACAAATGACACGAACAAACACTTCTCAGAAGACAACATACAAGTATCCAACAAATAAAACAATGTTCCACATCACTAGTCAGAAATGCAAATCAAAACCACAATGAGATACCATCTCACACCAGTCAGGATGACTATTAAGAAAAAGTCAAAAAAAACAGATGCTGGCAAGGATGCAGAGAAAAGGGGAACATGTATACAGTGTTACTGGGAAAGTCAATTAGTTCAGCCACTGTGGAAAGAAGTTTGGAGATTTCTCAAAGAACTGAAAACAGAACTACCATTCAACCCAGCAATCTCATTAGTGGGTATATATCCAAAAGAGAACAAATACTTCTACCAAAAAGATGCATGCACCATGGTCATCACAGTGCTATTCACAATAGCAAACACAGGGAATCAACCTAGGTGCCCATCAATGGTGGATTGGATAAAGACAATATGGTATGTATACACTATGGAATACTATGTAGCCATAAAAAGAACAAAATCAAGTTCTTTGCAGCAACATGATTGCAGCTGGGGGTCATTATTCTAAGCAAATTAACAGAGGAACAGAAAACCAAATACCACAAGTTCTCACAAGGGTACAATGGGTACTCATGGACATAAAGATGTCAACATCACACACCAGGGCCTATGGTGGGGAGTGGGAAGCAGGGAGGGATGGCATTGGGAGTTATACCTGATGTAAATGACGAGTTGATGGGTGCTGACGAGTTGATGGGTGCAGCACACCAACATGGCACATGTATACATATGTAACAAACCTGCACGTTGGGCACATGTACCCTAGAACTTTAAGTATGAAAAAAAAAAAAAAGATGTCAACAATAGACACTGGGGGTTATTCGAGGGAGGAGGGAGGGGGCAAAGGTGAAAAACTATTCAGTACTACACTCATTACATGGGTGATGGGATCAGCCATACCCTAAATTTCAGCATCACACAATATATCCAGGTAATAAATAAACACACACACCCTCTGAATCTAAAATAGAAGTTATAAAAAAAAATCAAATTTGGGGCATCACATACAGCTCTTGAAAAACAAGAAATGACATTCTCTCAGAATAACCTAGATGACTGACAGTGGTGACACCCATTGTTTTTCTTATTTGGGACAATGAGAACTGTAGTTTCCCTTTAATAAGTAAAAAGCATGCATAATTTCTCAACAGAGCAAAAAAGTAGTCTTATAAGGCATTTTATACTTCCATGTCCTTTTCCTTATTTGAATTTGTATAAATTATCTTTTTTAATGAAGTGACTGAAGACTTTTGGCACCATACCCTAAGAAAACTATCAACAGTCTGTAGGGGTGATCTTTTACAGAAGGAGATAGGGGCTTTCACTTGGCAAACGGCCAAGCAGCACCCACACACTGCTATAAAGCAACCTTTCCAAGGACTTCCTAGGATATACCCAAAATATAATCATGTTCTATAAGTTCTTCAGACATAATAGTGATAAAAACGAGCCATGAAATATTTCAGAATGAAAATTTTGATGAGTTGCTATTGCTATTAGGATTTTGTGACTGCTGTTATCAATTAAGTAAAAGTGGAAGACAAGCATTTTATTTTCCATAAACAAGGCCTTTCCAAACATTCTTTTCCCTTAAAAGTGAGTATTAGTCTGTTTTCACACTGCTACAAAGAACTGCCCAAGATTGAGTTATTTATAAAGGAAAGAGGTTTAATCGATGCACAGTTCAGCATGGCTGGGGAAGCCTCAGGAAACTTACAAGCATGGTAGAAGGTGAAGGGAAAAGAAGGTGTCTTCTTCACAAGGCGGCAGGAAGGAGAATGAACACAGGAGGAACTACCAAACACTTATAAAACTACCAGATCTCATGAGAACTCACTATCAAGAGATCAGCATGGGGGAAACCAGTCCCATGATTCAATTACCTCCACCTGATCTCTGCCCCGTGATTCAATTACCTCCACCTGATTTCTTCCTTAACACGCAGGATTACGGGGATTAAAATTCAAGGTGAGATTTTTGGGTGGGGACACAGCCAAACCATATCAGTGAGATTTTTAGTGTCCACCTATCTTAGGCTGCCTCAGAAGATGACCAAAAATTCAAGTTAATGCAAAAGTTTTCTCCATGGGAGAAAAGTTTAGTGTAAAAGTGACTATAATCCCCTATAGCTAATTACCAAGCAGATAAAGATCCTGCTGGCCAAGAACCATTGTGTCCCATAGAAATGCCTGCATATATGAGCTATGTTGTCACGATGTTCATGGCCACTGGAATATTATAGGTAAGTGGTTCATGAAATGGTTTCAGGGACCCCTCCCCCCATTACCCAGAGAAATGGAATATTGCAACTGGAATCATTTCAAAATTTGAGTTTCAGATGTAATCTTTGGGAAGATTACATAAATCGGTGATTATGGCTCTTTACACTTCCATTTTTCAAACTCCAATATTCAAAAAGTAAAATAGTCATATGAGAACCTGAAACCGACTTTGTGAAAATTATAACTGAGGAAATAAGGACAGTGAAAGATCAGTCCTAACTGACTCCATCTTGCTTCTAACCATTAAGCTGTCCTTGTTCATACCTTGGCGTAGGCCGAACTATCCTTGGGAAGGAATTTAGTTTATGGTTTGACTCAAACAAAATTCATAATAGCCCTTTCCCGAAAAGACCCCCTTCTTGCCTGGGGACCAGTCTGCCTTCATTGGACTAACAAATTAGCTACAAGATTAGAAATTACAGTTTAGGGGTCATGCAGCCTCTGGCTGCAAGAGTCTGAACCTCTCCAAATTGCTCCTGGGGATAACATCACTATTGTAAAACCTAAGGTCAGTGCTTGAGATATTTTACAGACCCTTCTCTCTCCATGAATCAGCTGACACCACCCAGACCAGTAATGTGTCTCAACCAGTTCTGCCATCCCACCCAGGAACAGAAGACACCAAGAAGACCTCACTTGGACCCCCATCTCCAAGCTGACCAATTAGCACTCCCCACTTCCCGAGTCTCTAACAACCAAATTATCTTTAAAAACTCCGATCCCGAAATGTTCGATTTGATAATAATTTTGAGTAATAATTTTTTGAGTAATAATTTGAGACTGATTTGAGTAATAATAAAACTCCAATCTCCCGCACAGCCGACTCTGCGTGAATTACTCTTTCTCATTGCAATTCCCGTCTTGATAAATCGGGTCTGTTTAGGCAGGGGCAAGGCGAACCCTTGGGGTGGTTACAAAACAACTTGAATCTTTTGGCTTTTGAAGCATATGTGAGGGTTTGCGTGGGGCTCCTTACTGGAGAACGTGCCACTTCCCTTGGACTAGAACCTCACTAGCTCGGTTTTCAAAACCTCCTGCAAAGGCTGTGTATGCTAAAGGATGACATCTATCTTGAAATGCAAACGGTTCGCATCAGTTCAAGGCTTCACAAACTACCACAGCTCCCCACTGGCTTCAGAAAAGTTCAGAACTATGTGGATATTTGTAATGCCGCTGCTTCCCACCCCTGCTCCCCTGCTCCAAGCTCCACCTCATTACTCAGGGCTAAAAACAAAGTAAGTTAATATTATAACATACCCCTCCATTTCACTTCCTCAGCTCCTCACTACTGTTCCCCTAGTCCTCCCTATCCCATTCCCTCTGTCTCCTTCATTTCCTCAGCTAGTTAACTTCAGTGCCTTTTCTAAGATAAAGGGGGTATGACCTTTATCTTAGGATTCAGGATTAAAGCCCTTTCCACCATTGAAAGGTTATTAAATTCTGCTCCTCTCCCCTCCTGCAGCACCTAGTAATTAGCGCAGTCTGTCTCACAGAGGGTGCTTGGTAAATGAATGAAAAAACCCAACACACACCCTGGAAACAGGTGTGCACGTACAACTCAATCCACGCATGCGCGGAGGCAGAGCCCCAGGACCGCGAGACTATCCGCACAGCTTCTCTTTAGGCCCCACAGCCAGAACTCCAAATTGCCTAGTCTCAACCCATGCACTCTCTAATCCGGGGCCACACGCCGGGCCTTCCCCACCACCTCATCTGCTTGGGAACGTAAAGGGTTCTGTGGGGCAGCTGCAGCTTTTGTGCCCATCTGTCTCCAGAGCTTCCCATCTCTGGAACGCGGGAGGGAACAGAGCTCTAGCCTGAATAACTGAGCCCGGCCCGGCAGTTCCCGAGGTGAAAGTGCCAGCGCTAGAGCAGCGGCAGGGCGGGGAGCGGGAGGCCGGGCCCCAAGGAACCGCGGGGCTAGCCCAGCTACGTATTACCTTTCCAGGGCCTGTAGGGTGTAGCTGATGAGCGGTCTCTCCAGGATGGAGCAGAATTGCTTCGGGGTGGGGACACCCATCCTCTCCCCGCACCCCCCGGCAGGCAACACGGCTGCCACGGCGAGCGAGTGGCGCCCGGGCTCTGTCCCGGCCGCGCTCTGCAGGGAGGCGGAAGCCGCGTGGTCCGCGCCGCGCTGACCACTCAGGCAAGGACCCGGCTCCACGGGCCCGGAACTGCCAGGCGGCCCGGGCTCCATGGCTGCGGGCGGAGCGGCAAACCACGCTAGCCCCGGGCCGATGCGACCCCGCGCTGCTCCCACCCTCGGCCGGGGTCGCGGGGTGAAGGGCAGACCACGGAGAGGGACGCGGAGCGCGCAAGCAGAAGGCGCCCCCGTGAGCCGCCGGAGCCTCGCTGTTGCTGCCCCGCAGGGGACGATCCCGACAGCCGCGGCAGCAGCTGAGGCTACCGATCTGCCCTCGCGGCGCGGCTGCGGCCTCCGCACCCGGGCCCAGCGCCTCCGGGAGGGCTGACTTGCCCGCTCTGCGCTTCCCCCGGGCAGGCCCAGCTGTCGCCGCAAGTGGAAGTGTCAGCATGCCCTACATATCTAAAGATCGCAGATACTTAAGGGCCATGAGTATACAGGAGAGGTCAAGCCTCTGTCCCATTCCTCCCTGCTTTAAAATTTTTGAAGAGATTGAGATTCAAATCACGGGATGGGACGTAGGGTGCGTATGCACCTCGATTATCTGAATTTCATTAAGCTCCGGAGGCTTCCTGGTTCCACCTGGGGTAAAGACAGATGGATTAGCAACTGTTATTGTGGCACATCAATAATTCAAACTGTGGTGGCTCTCAAACTTGTCTGCAAGTTGGAACCACCTGGGGAGCCTGTCCTGACACGCTCAGAGATTGGGATTTAATTGGTCTAGTGTGCACCGGGCTTTGGAATGTTTTTAAAGATCCTCGGGTGATTCTGATGAGCAGGCACGTTTTGGAACCATAGGGCCAAAGCGATACTAATTGCTGAACAATTGATACACCTTATGTCATTTAGTCCCTAGGAGAACTCAACTTTTGTCATTTCCCTTTTTACAAAGGGGAAAAGAAGTTAAAATGGTTAATTTATGTAAGATTGCACAATTAATGGCAGAGCAGCCTTAAGGCCCTCGTATAGAAGTAGGCCAAAGTTGAAGAATTCCAGGCCTAAAGCATATCTTACCTTATTTAGTACTCTTGTTGCTGGTGAGGTTTACCATGAAAGTATAGTGAAGAATTTGGAGGAGAGTACTATTGCATTAGTCCCTGGAATGTAAACTCCATGAAAGCAGCAACATTTTTCTTTTGGCTTGGGTTGTGTGTGTGTTCCCAGCTCCTGGAATGTAACAGAAGCTTAATATTTATTGAATGAATTGCTGATTAAATAGATTAATGATCATTAAAGTGTATAATCATCAGTAATTCAGTCTTAATCCAGTGGTTTATGATTCATTAGAAATAATCTTTTTAAACACTGGAAATGTTATCCAATTACAGTATTTATTACAATTTTTATTTTTACCTATTTTCTCAGTTGAGAGCATACAAAATGATGTTTTTTGCTTTTTGTTTAGTCTTATTGAAGCCATTCTTTCACTTTTGTTACTTTTATTATAATTAGCATTTAGGTCCTGTGCTAGTTGAGGTTTGTTAGGCTAGTAACTCTTAACTGAAAAGTGGTTGCCATAATATACTTCCTTGTAATTTTTATTGCTATTGTTCCTTTCTAACTTGATCTCGAGGTCTCTCTCTTAAGAGTGGCCATAAGCCAGAACAGTCACTCTTCAGGAGAGCTCTGGCCCAGAGAGGAAAGCTAGTTTCTGTTGTGCAGGTCAGATGCCAGAGGAGGCAGCACACAAAACATGTAAAGTAACAGGTGCATTTTATCACTTACAGATTCACCAGAGAATAAGCCTGATGGGAAGTCTGGAGATAACAGGACACCCAACCAGCAGGTGGGGAGCAAGAGAGAGGACCTGTGGGGCTATGTTAAGGTCCAAAAGGCTTTATCCCTTAGGCTTTCCAGAGGGGGTTGTGGATTGACTAAAGAAAACACCAGCAAAGGGGGAATTTGACTGTGGTGTCCACCATTGGGTTTTATCATGGTTAGCAGCTGCGGGATGTGTTGGGTTTTTGGTCATGGAATGAGGAACAAGTGTTCTGTATCACAGGGAGGGGACGTTTTAAGTAAGCCACAGGTGACGTGATACAACTGGGTTTCAAACAGCTTATATCAGACCTAAAAATGAATGCCCAGGCAGCAACTATATGAAACAAGTTTGGCACATTACTTCGTAGCACCACTACCACACCTGTATCAAGCATTTAAATGTTTGTTGACTAACTGGGTGGATGAATGAATGAGTCTATGAGAGCAGGAAGGCAAATCAAGTTAGTATTTCTATTAATATTGATCTTTAAACCTCCCTTTTTAATCTAAAGGTGGAGTTGTTATAAAGGTATTCTTCCTTTACTTAACCTTGAGCAAAGAAAAGTAGAGTAATAAAGCTCTTGTTATACTAATTGCTATAGAATAATTTTATATAATTAAACATTGACAAATTTTAACTAGAATCTTATTTAGTTTTGTTCTTAGAGCAGATATATCAATTTAGATCTTACATGAATCCTTAGATCCTTATATCTTACATACTATAAACAATGTCTAGCAGACCAACTTGTAGGGAAAAAAGGGCAGATTATAGTATTCATTCATATATACAGTATGAAGCAACATTTTTCTCTGTGTCCTTTTTATATAAATATAATTAATTCCATGTTATGCATACTTTGGGGTAACAGACGTAGCTTCCTTGTTACTTAATACCAAGTTATAGCAGCCACATTATGAGAATATCTTCTCTGCATCAGGTAAGTGAAAGTACGTATCCTGAAAAGTGAAATCCTCTGGGATCCACTGGTAATAACCATTCTAAGATATCACTTGAAGAGTTTAGAAAACATAAACCCCAACTGAATCATGAAGCAGAGCATGCAGAGTTGGAAGTTCTTGGAGTCGTTTCTGTTTTGAGCTTCCAGGTAGGCAAAATAATGACTCTCCAAAGATGCCCATATTCTTATCTCCAGAACATATGAATAAGTTACCTTACACTGCTAAAGAGACATTGCAGATGTGATTAAGTGAAAGATCTCAAGATGGAGGGGAGTAGCCTGGATTATCCAGGTGGGCCCCATGTAATCTCTGGCATCCTTATAAGAGAGAAGTCAGAGTTAGAGAAGGAAGTATGAGGATGGAAGCAGCTATCAGAGTGCAGACAGAGGTGGGAATGTAGGCAACTTCTAGAAGCTGGAAGAGGCAAAGAAACAGGTTTTTCTCTTAGAGCCTGCAGAAGAATATAGCCCTGCCACCCCATTTTCAGATTTCTGATGTACGGAACTGTCAGATAATATACTTGAGTTGTTTTAAGCTGCTGAATCTGTGGTAATTTGTTATAGCAGCGAGAGGAAACTAATAACAGGCTTCACACTGAGGAAGATTCTCATTTGGACTATAATCTCCAAATGAAGTTATACGTAGTTAGAAATGCAGTAATATGATTGAAAAAATAAGGCACTGTTCATTCAACTTTATGTCCCATTACTAGACCCCCAGTATTGACTTTTAAAATAAATCCTTTGTCTTATGAATTTAAAAATGTATTCTAAATGTTTAAAGTATAACTTTGTTAAATGTATACCACAATTTCATAAGCTGGCTTTGGCATGCCTTTAATTTTTTAAAGTAGTCTCTTTCTAAGAGTAGTTTTAGGTTCACAGCAAAATTGAGAGAAAGGTACAAAAATTTCCCATAACTCCCTGCCCCACACATGCATAGCCTCCCACATTGTTAACATCTCCCACCAGAGTGGTACATTGGTTACAACTGATGAACCTACAGTGACACATCATTATAACCCACAGTCCCTAGTTTACATTAGAGTTCACACTTGGTGTTGTACATTCATTCTATAGGATTGATAAATTTACAATGATGTGTATCCACCATTACAGTATCATGCAGAGTAATTTCACTGCCCGAAAGTCATCTATCCTCTGCCTATTCATGCCTTCCTCTCCCCTAATCCCTGCCCAATCCCTGGCATCCACTTATCTTTTTACTGCCTCCATGCTTTTGCCTTTCTCAGAACATCATATAGTTGGAACCATACAGTATTCTTTTCAGACTGGCTTCTTTCATTTAGTAATATGCATTTAACTTTTCTCCATATCTTTTCATGGCTTGACAGCTTCTGTCTCTTTAGCACTGATTTATTTTATTTTATTTTTTTTGCTGGATGTACCATGATGTATTTATTCATTCACCTACTGAAAGACATCTTGGTTGCTCCAAGGTTTGGCAATTATAACTAAGCTGTAATAAACATCTCCGTGCAGGGTTTTTTAAAATTTTATTTTAAGTTCTGGGGTACACGTGCAGGATGTGCAGGTTTGTTGCAAAGGTAAACGTGTGCCATGGTGGTTTGCTGTACCTATCAACCTTTCACCTAGGTATTAAACCCAGCATGCATTAGCTATTTTTCCTAATACTCTCCCTCCCCACTCCCCACCTCCCTACAGGTCCCGGTGTGGTTCCGCTCCCGTGTTCTCATTATTCAGCTCCCACTTGTAAGTAAGAACACGCAGTGTTTGGTTTTCTGTTCCTCTGTGCAGATTTTTATGTGTACTAAAATTTTCAATTCCTTTGGATAAATACCAAGGAGAAAGATTGCTGAATTGTATGGGCAAAAGTATGGTTAGTTTTGTAAGAAACGGCCAAACTGTCCTGCAAAGTAGCTATACCATTTTGCATTCCCACCAACAATGAATCAGAGTTTCTGTTGCTTCACATCCTCACCAGCATTTGGTGTGTCAGTGTTCTGGCTGTTGGCCATTCTAACAGGTGTGCAGTGGTATCTCAGTGTTGATATAATTTTTATTTATTTGATGACATATGATGTTGAGCATTGTTCATATGTGTATTTGCCATGTGTATCGTATTTGGTGAGGTGTCAGAGTCTTTGGCCCACTTTTTAGTTGGGTCATTTGTGTTTTTATTGTTCATTTTTGAGAGTTCTTTGTTTATTTTGAAGAACAGTTTTTTCTCTGATATTTCTTTGGCAAATATTTTCTCCCAGTCTGTGGCTTGTCTTTTTATTCTCAGCAGTGTCTTTTGCAGAGCAGAAATGTTTAATGATAATGAAGTCCAGCTTATCAATTGTTTTTCACAGGTCATGTCTTTGGTGGTGCTTTTAAAAAAATCATCACCTAGATTTTTCTCCTATGCTATCTCTTAGGAGTTTTATAGTTTTGTGGTTTTTTTAGGTCAGTGATTCATTTAGGTCTGTGAGTTTTGAGTTAATTTTGTAAAGGGTATAAGGTTTGTCTAGATTCTTTGTTGTTTTTCCACATAGATATGCAGTTGTTGCAGCAACATTTGTTGAAAAGACTATCTTTGCTTCATTTTACTGCCTTTGCTTCTTTGTCAAAGATCAGTTGACTATATTTATTTGAGTCTAATTCTGGTTTCTTTATAATGTTCCATTGATTCATTTGTACATCCTTTCGTCAATACCACACTGTCCTGATTACTGTAGCTTTTTATATGTCTTGAGGTCCAGTAGTGTCTGTCTTCCAACTTTGTTCTTCTTCAGTATTGTGTTGGCTATTCTGGGTCTCTTGCCTTTCCATATAAACTTTAAAATCAGTTTATCAATATCCACAAAATAACTTGCTGGTATTTTGATTGGGATTGCATTGAATTTATAGATGAATTTTGGAAGAACTGACATCTTGACAATATTGAGTCTTCCTACTCACAAACATGGGGAACATCTTTACTTAGTTCTTTTGTGATGTCTTTCATCAGGTTTGTATTTTTTCTTCTATGGATCTTGTACATATTGTCTTAAATTTATACCTAAGGATTTCATTGGGGGGTTAATGTAAATAATATTGTGTTTTTAATTTCAAATTCCACTTGTTCATGACTGGTATATAGAAAATGATTGACTTTTTTGTATTAACCTTGGATCCTACAGCACTGCTATAATCACTTATTAGTTCCTGACATTGTCTTTTTAATATGCACAGAAGTGTACATTAAATGAAAGTGGCTCTCATCTTTATATCTGAAATACCTAAAACTTACTTTTTTGTTTGTGTGTCTTTACATGTTAGCATACCTCTCTGGAGTACTTGTCTTGGAGATTTCTTTTATTAGAAAATTTTAGTTTCCAGTGGGTAAATTTTTTTTAGTATTAACGCAAATGTAATTAGCACTACCAGTCATACCCCTCCTCCCCAGCTACATTATTGTTTTAGTACCCTTTCTAGAGATTAGTTGGGGTGTTTCTCATCAGTGCTAATGAACAGCTTAGTGGTTCATCCTTTAACTCTATTGAAATCAGAGCGAGAAGAAGTAAATTAACATTCTACCATGGGGCATCCCCATCATTTCTGGCAGCCTATGAATTCTAATTTCTGATTTGCTATTGTGTATCTTATGTAAATGGTACAGTCTATTAACCTCTGACCTTTAACTCATTTTTATACATAAGAACGGTGACACTCAGAATTGAAGTCTCTCTGCAGATAATGCAGACTAAACAATACCACATGACAACATCATTATTACCTTTCATTTTCATAATATTTCTTGCAAAGTTATTGTCAATTGTCTCTACCATCCACTGTGCTTTTCCTGTATAACTAAAAAGGAAGCAATGGTGAATATTTAGCCTTAGGACTGAATTAATAATACTAAAGTTTAACTTTTCATAAGAAGCACCTGGAACAATGGTTTCTATGTAGTATTTTTATGTATTTTATACAATATAATTTACATAGTATGTATTATATAATAATCTTAGAAAATATATTCCTGGCATCTACTGACAGAAATTTCGATTAAATGCCTCCAGAGTAGGCCCAGGAATCTGATTTTTGATACACCTCCATAGGTGATTCCAATGTAGTTGTGAGCCAGACTGAAATAAACAGTGAATTTAAAAGAATTATACCCCAACTCACTTTATATTCAATACATTTAATTTCAGTACCCAAAGCAAAATGCATGTAATATATTAAAATACCATATAAAAAATGCATAAGAAATTTATTTTAAAATTGTGTAAGTAATTCATTAAACTGTTTCATTTCCTTGTTAATTTGTAAGAAGGGAAACACAAGGGAAAAATATTTAAATACCAGAAAAGAATGATGGAAGAGAAACAGAAAACCAGATCATCCCCTGGTATTTCTACAAACGTATCATTTTGTGTGTGTGTGTGCGCGCACTTAGAATTCATTTTGCCTTGTAAAAGCTGTCATTTAAAAACACAGCATCCTCTGAGAACCATCAAAGGCAGTATCCTTGACCACAGCTTAAATAGAATAGAAATTGTTGCCTGAAACTGCTCTGAGCACAGAACTAATGCATGCAATTCAACTGAGGATGCCACATTACTCCAGAAACCAAAAGAGGGTAATGACCCCTTGCACAAGGGACAATGTGACAGAGATAATATCTTTGAAAGTTTTGTTTAGGAAACAAATCACTAATCTGGAAATGGTGGTGGCCAGCCTTAATAATCTGTGGAACGGAGGAACATATGGAATCATTAAAGAAAAGCAACAGCTACAAAAGGTAGATTTTTCATTTCTGCAAGAAGTATATTGACAACAGCTGTTTATATGCATTTTAACCTTGACTCATTGCTAAAATAAGATTTAAAGAAGAAAAAAAAATAGGCTTTAAGATGCAAATGGTCCAAAGGAATTCAAAGTCATATCTTTTATCTGAGCGATAAGAAAAAAAGAATGCAGACGTTGTGCATTGTGACCACAGCCACCGCCCTCATCAACTTGCCAAGCACAGAGTAAATACAGGAAGTGAGCTATCCAATAGAGTCTGAATTTCAGACATCATTGCTTTATAGTGCCTTACCCATGAGGGCACCACATCTTTATCTTAAGCAGATTGAAAGGGACTATGGTAGGGTAGAAGCACAAGGGGTAACATGGAGAAGGGAGAGAGAGAAGACTGCGACAGTCTTTTCATATAATAATATAGTCTCTTCAGTGATGTCCAAAAGATATAAACAAGTTTTGATTTTTACAAAAAAGAATGTTTCATTGCTCTCTAGCATGGAATACTCACTGGGAAAGACCCTCTCTCCTTCCCCAAGGAAAAGAAGAAGAAAAAAAGAATATACAGAGTCTGGGAAGATGCTGTATAATCTACTTAGGAGAGCAATAAACTACACCGTTTTGGACAATGAAGACTTAGTGGTGACAAAAGGACAATATTTTATGTGGAAGTAACTTGCAGCAGATTGCTAAGAGGAATAAATGAGGTCACTGTGTTGTCTCTACTGTACGTGCATAGAAATAAGTTAAACAGAAATTAAGTACTCTCTTTTGTGACCATTGCTACCACTAATTGGCTTAATACATAAATGAAAGAATAGATGAATAATTGAAAGAATGTTAAACTTACCATTGAATATAAACATAAATCAATAAAGAACAATTTATATGTACTCTTCAGAAAAATTAGAGTGCTTGAAACTATTCACAAAATAAAAAGTTTGTTTTGTTTTTAAGTTTGTACAGACTCTTCTCACCCCAACTTCTTACGTCTTTTCACCTCTCCTACCACTTATCCTTGAAAGAATTCAAGATCTTGACAAGTGATTAAAATGCAAACCAGAAACTTCCCCCTTTGTCAAATATTCCTTAGTAATTATTCTCTCTTAACTTCATAAAAATATATGATTATTAACTGCTATAGTACAATAACAAAAATATACATGAAAGTAACCAACACTGGTCTTGGGGGCAAAGTTATCAAATTTCATTATGCTTGTCTTGGTTCTCCTGGCCTCTCGCCTTTCTATAGTCTTTTTATTTTTCCTCACTACCTCCTGAATTGGGTATGTCACTATCAGCTCTGCTGAACCGGAATTCACTTGTGTCTTCATCTATGAACTTAATCCTGCTAGTCCTGACCAGGACAGACAGCTTCACTTTGTGAATAGGGCGAATCTTGCATTTGTCTCATTGCCTAGAGACATGTCTTACTATTCATGGGGTGTACCCGCCATTTGCAACCTTTTTCCCAAACTTAACCTCATTGACCCAGGTCTTATAACTGGTTCCTTCTTGCAATTTCACATCTCTCTTGCATGAAGTAAGACACAACCCCAGTTTGACTGACTAGGCTTGAGTCATCAGAGGGTTGACTTCTGATTAATTGGCTGAAGAACTGCTATGGAAGGATTAATCACATACAAACAGGATATCACCCCTTGACTGGCTTTAATTGTTATTCTTGGGACTTCTGATGCCTAGGTCTCCCTGGGATACTCTACAGGCTGGCCTTGGCTTACTTCCCATCCTCACCAGCCAGTGCTGCTAACATCTGAGATTGCTCATGTTGTGACACTAAGGCCCTCCTGTCCCTACTTAATCTGGCTCTCAAGAAAAATCTAATCTTTTCATTTATCTTCAAGAATAAGTAGTTATAGTTGTTTGAGACATCTCCACTTTAGTAAATATCAGAACCGTAATTGCTATGATTTGAATATGTTCCTTAAAGTTGATATGTTGAAAACTTAATTGCCATTGCAGTGGTATTAAAAGGTTAGGCCTTTAAAAGTTCATTAGGTAATGAAGGCTTTGCCCTCATGAATGGATTAATGCCATCATCATGGGAGTGGGCTCCTGAAAAAATAATGAAATTTGGTCCCCATTCCTTTTCTGTCTTACATGCTTACTTCTGCCTTTTGCCTTTCTGCTGTGCAGTAACAATCAACCAGATGCTATTAACATGTTCTTGGATTTCCCAGCCTCCAGAACTGTGAGCCACATAAACTTCTATTCTTTATAAATTACCAAGCCTGTACTATTCTATTCTAACAGTAGAAATACACTAAGACAATAATCTAAAGGCTTGGTATTCTAACCCTGGAAATTTCCAAGGCCTGGGAATAATGGCAAGAAGTCAAGAAATATACCTTACACATGAGCCAGTGAAAGACTCATCTTAAAAATGATTCATTCTTTATATCTGAGGGGATGATCAAGGGTAAATATGCTCTGTAACTGATAAATCAGATTAAGTTGTGGAGAACAAAAACTATAACATTTACAACTTTTTTCAATTGTCTATTACTGTATAAAAAACCATTCCAAAACTTAGCAGCTTAAAACAACACCATCTCATTGCTCACAGTTTTGTGGATCCAGATTTTAAGCAGCACTAAAGGAAACAGCTCATCTCTCTTTCACATGGGGTTGGCTAAGGTAGTTCAACTGAAGCAAAGGAAGATCCAAGATAGACTCCTTTATAGGTTGGGGTCCTTGGTGTTGGATGTTGCCTGGGGCATCTCAGTTCTCTTCCACATGGTATTTTTCTCCAGCAGGATAGCCTGATTTTCTTTATAGTGAATGATTTCTTTAAAAAACAAACAAACAGATTCTGCCAACCCCTCTTAAATGTCATGCCCCAAACTAGCACAGTGTCAAATCTGTCTCATTCTTTTGGTCAAAGGAATTCACAAGCCCAGACAGAAATCAAGAAGAGAGAAAGTAGCTGCACATCATGATGAAAGGAATTTTTACAGAAAATGAAGGAATTATTAATGGCCATCTTTGCAGAGAATCTTCGACGGGCACTGAGATGGTTAATTTTGTGTGTGAACTTGACTAAGCACGGGATGCTCAAATAGCTGGGTAAGCATTATTTCTGGGTGTGTCTGTGAGGGTGTTTCCAGAAGAGATTAGCATTTGAATTTATAAGCTGAGTAAAGCAGATATTCCTCCCCAATGTCATGGGCATCATCTAATGTGTGGAGGGCCTGGATAGAACAAAAAAGTGGAAGAAGGTTGAATTGCCTCTCTGTTTGACAGCTTAAGTTTTACATTAATCTTCTTCTAACATAGGACCTCCTGATTCTTAGGCCTTCAGACACAGACTGGAATCTACAGCATTGGCTCTCGGGCTATCCAACCTTCAGACTACATGACCAGCTTTCCTGGGTCTCCAGTTTGCAATCAACCTACCCTGGAACTTTTCAGCCTCCATCATCGCCTGAGCCAATACTTTATAATAAATATGTATCTTCTTCTTGGTGCTGTTTCTCTAGAGAACCCTAACTAGCATAGGCACCAAACACCCATTTTAATAATCCACTTGTCTTCAGATCACAGCAATATCTACTCAAGAGATACAGACTCCATTGATTTCTGGCCACAGGAGGGCAGAAGAGTCAATAGGTATTCTTTGGCCTTCCTCCCAGGAGGGAGGTGTCAAAGAAATTCAGAGTGATCTGTATGGCCCTATCTGATCTTTGGAATCATTTATTTCTACAGGCTGTTTGCTTTTAAGGTATCAATAGCTGTCAAAATCCCTCTTCTTTGCCATCATAAAATCCCAAACTAGGGTTGAAATATTAGCAAAGAGAATATATGTTTAAGAAATTGTTTCTGATACTGATGACCCTGTTGTTATATATCCCAAGTGATACACAAAGAACTGATTTTCAAGATGTGACAACATTTAGGTCTCACTTATAAGTGAAGCTCTCCTTAGGACCATACTGTATGGACTAACACTTTATTATTAGAAGGAGAAATGGTAGCAGTGAGAATTTCTTCATATTTGTAATTTTTTAAAATTTCAACCATGCATATTAAATGTAACTTTAATCAGAGTTAAAACCATTTCACATGATGATCTTAATTTACAAGTCAATAAAACTACAAATATGAAGGAATATTTGCAATAACAGAGATTAAAAGCAATTAATTTATTTGAAAGTCAATGAACAATTTTTTTTTTCTTTTTTGGAGATGGACTCTCACTCTGTTACCCAGGCTGGAGTGCAGTGGCGCAATCTTGGCTCACTGCAACCTCCACCTCCCAGGTTCAAGCAATTCTCCTGCCTCAGCTTCCCAAGTAGCTGGGACTACAGGCACGCAGCACCATGTCTGGCTAATTTTTTGCATTTTTAGTAGAGATGGGGTTTCACCGTGTTAGCCAGGATGGGCTCAATCTCTTGACCTCATGATCCACCCACCTCAGCCTCCCAAAGTGCTGGGATTACATGTGTGAGCCACCGCAACCAGCCCCAGTGAACAATTTAGAAGGTGGCTTTTATTACCTCAAAGCTGAAAGTTACAACTCTGAGTATTATAATTTTTTGTGGCCATCTACTTTAAGAGAGAGAAATGTCTACAAAATGATATGAGCTTTTTTTCCTCTACCTACAGTTGTATACTCAGAAAACCAGGAATTTCTGAACATTAAAACTACACTATGTTGGAAAGGGAGCCAAAAAGCTCAATATCTACTAGAGATGTGCAAACTTTCTTTAACAGAAGCCACCTACTTATCAGTTTTTGATAAATAACCCACTGGCAGTAACAATAGGAGAAAAACAATGTATTTGGCCTAATGTTCTATCATGTGGACATGGGGTCCCACTTCAACGAACTTGTTTATCTGAGTTAAACCTCTCATTTGAAATCATGGGTGCCGTATTTGAATTGTCAATTGCTTTTTTATATCTTGGGACTGGAACTGGATTAAGAGTCCTGTATTTTAGGAGACTTCTCCCTACTTACACATCCTCTGAAGAGCATAAGTAAATGTGCCGGCCAGAAATAATGGAAGAAACCATCAACAAATGGGGGGAAATCAGATAGGGTCATGGTGTCACTTTGACTTTTGCCATTGCCTGCTATATTCCAGCTTCTGATTCCACTGCAAATGGAAGCAAAGAAAGCTCATGTAGTAATAACAGCAACTAAGGCAACAGTAGTTTTACACTGATAAGCTAGACATTTTGAAAGTAAAAGGCTGGCACATAAACTAAATTAGTAGTTCTCAGCTAGGCTACACATCAGAATAATCTGTGGGGTTTTTATAGCTACAGGTGCTAAATCAGAATCCAAGACAGGGAAGTGAAAGTGCTTATTCCAATGAAGATCTTTGTTGATAGTCACCATACTAGATTATCTACAAAGGTGGAAAACCTGGTCTGATTTAACAATTTGTAATTGATGAAGGTAAACAGAGTGTGATATAATGAACTGAGTACTGAATCAGAGAATAGGTCTAATTTTACTCTGTGAACAGAGTTATTGAATAATTTTAGCTTATTACATGTATCACATGTCAGGCACAGTATTATGTGTGTATATCAATAATTCTTTCAGTTCACAATGCTTTGTGATACAAAGATTATTCTTGCTCCTTTTTTACAGATGTGAAACCTGAAATTAGTGATTTGCCAAAGGAAATGATGGCTATGATCCCAGGTCTGTCTAACCTATACCTGTCTCCAAAGGATAGGACAGTGTTTCTGTTCTCTCCATAGTGAGATTCAGCCTCTTTAATGCCTCTTTTAGCAAAATATTACAATAAACTCTTCTCCAATGAACAGTGAGCAATGTCTCCTTGAGCAGATTTTCTTGGATGAAATGAGATGAGGCAACTGAAGAAGGCATTGAAAACTATAATATTCCTTAGAAATTAAGATTTCTTCTCATCTTGAATAATGGCTCTTACATCATCCTAAAGTTTAAAATACTTTTTTTCTGAAAATACTTGTTTCTTCATTTCATTACCTTACTTCAACATTTTCCATTATTACAAAATGTTTATTTCAAAAATTGTCTCAAAAATTTTCCGACATAAACCACCACAATTTTTCCTCAGTTGAAGTGTAATATAAATAAATTGAAATCAAGTTTTCTCTTCATTGTAAAAATATTCCCCAAAATTGCATAGTAACTCAATTTTTAATCAAATTTGTTATTGAATTTTGGAAAAACTTTTTAAAAGTCTTAAAGTTCAATTAGTTTTTCAAAGAGCCCGAGTATAGCACAAAAACATCGTTACTCTTACAAAAACTGTATTTTTATTTCCCTAGTAATTTGCCCTGGCAGACTTGGGGGTCAAGGACCCTGTGTTGCAAAATTCCGGTAGTTACCATGTCCAGAAGATATACTGTAAATTATGGTTCCAGAAGTTGGGTCATATAATGGTACAAATGGAAACTTTGATTTATTATTTTGTTGCTTCTTGTTAACTAATTTTAGAAGACTGAAGGTGGGGGTGTCCATGCTTTAGATCCTTCAAAGAAAGGATTAAAATTTGTTCTTGCTCTCTGGTAAAAACTACTCATTGAGCTAACAGCTAAAAAATTGAATTTCAATATTATCATAAATTTGAAGTGCAAAATGTTTCCTTGTGAAGTAGGAGTTTGGGCAAAGTACAAATAAGTAATTAAAATTGTGCTCAACTAAAGAGTTTGTTGTGGAGGGAAACGTGATCTCTTCTTCCTGAATGGAAATTAAATGTTTTTATAGAGTGGTGCCATTATTGCGACAGTGCAAATTATATTAATAGCTAAGAGAGAATTCAAGTAAAATGTTTCTAAGTTACAAAGGCCCACCCCTTTTAATTGAGTTTTGTGTGATTGTCACATGAATGAAATAAAATCTAAATGTTTCTCATCTTTTCTGGTGGAGCAGACATTCATTTATTCAAAATTTTCTCATTTTTTTGTGAAATTGATCAATTCATTTATTATATTTAATGTATTTAAAAGATTACAGTGTATTGTATTAGGAATCGTTTTTTTTAAAGGTAGTAAGAGACTCCCTTTTGTTAGGTTACAAATTATTTAATACATTCTTTACACAAAATTGTGGATGAAATACGCAGCTCTCCTATACAGAAAGGTGTTTTAACAAAGCATCTCAAATTGTGTTTAAAATGAGAGTGAGTCATTATAAGATAATGAATCTGGTGAGTAGATTATTCTTTTTTTTTTTTTTTTTTTTTGTTTAGGGTGGTTCTTTTTTTTTTTAATTTATTTATTATTATTATACTTTAAGTTGTAGGGTACATGTGCATAACGTGCAGGTTTGTTACATATGTATACTTGTGCCATGTTGGTGTGCTGCACCCATCAACTCATCATTTACATCAGGTATAACTCCCAGTGCAATCCCTCCCCCCTCCCCCCTCCCCATGATAGGCCCTGGTGTGTGATGTTCCCCTTCCTGAGTCCAAGTGATCTCATTGTTCAGTTCCCACCTATGAGTGAGAACATGCGGTGTTTGGTTTTCTGTTCTTGTGATAGTTTGCTAAGAATGATAGTTTCCAGCTGCATCCATGTCCCTACAAAGGACACAAACTCATCCTTTTTTATGGCTGCATAGTATTCCATGGTGTATATGTGCCACATTTTCTTAATCCAATCTGTCACTGATGGACATTTGGGTTGATTCCAAGTCTTTGCTATTGTGAATAGTGCTGCAATAAACATACGTGTGCATGTGTCTTTATAGCAGCATAATTTATAATCCTTTGGGCATATACCCAGTAATGGGATGGCTGGGTCATATGGTACATCTAGTTCTAGATCCTTGAGGAATCGCCATACTGTTTTCCATAATGGTTGAACTAGTTTACAATCCCACCAACAGTGTAAAAGTGTTCCTATTTCTCCACATCCTTTCCAGCACCTGTTGTTTCCTAACTTTTTAATGATCGCCATTCTAACTGGTGTGAGATGGTACCTCATTGTGGTTTTGATTTGCATTTCTCTGATGGCCAGTGATGATGAGCATTTTTTCATGTGTCTGTTGGCTGTATGAATGTCTTCTTTTGAGAAATGTCTGTTCATATCCTTTGCCCACTTTTTGATGGGGTTGTTTGTTTTTTTCTTGTAAATTTGTTTGAGTTCTTTGTAGGTTCTGGATATTAGCCCTTTGTCAGATGAGTAGATTGCAAACATTTTCTCCCATTCTGTAGGTTGCCTGTTCACTCTGATGGTAGTTTCTTTTGCTGTGCAGAAGCTCTTTAGTTTAATTAGATCCCATTTGTCAATTTTGGCTTTTGCTGCCGTTGCTTTTGGTGTTTTAGACACGAAGTCCTTGCCCATGCCTATGTCCTGAATGGTACTACCTAGGTTTTCCTCTAGGATTTTTATGGTATTAGGTCTAACATTTAAGTCTCTAATAAAAAGAGCCCGCATCTCCAAGACAATCCTAAGTCAAAAGAACAAAGCTGGAGGCATCACGCTACCTGACTTCAAACTATACTACAAGGCTACAGTAACCAAAACAGCATGGTACTGGTACCAAAACAGAGATATAGACCAATGGAACAGAACAGAGTCCTCAGAAATAATACCACACATCTACAGCCATCTGATCTTTGACAAACCTGAGAGAAACAAGAAATGGGGAAAGGATTCCCTATTTAATAAATGGTGCTGGGAAAATTGGCTAGCCATAAGTAGAAAGCTGAAACTGGATCCTTTCCTTACTCCTTATACGAAAATTAATTTTCTCATTTTTATCATTGGCATTAAAGGTTTTTGATGGTCGGGTTGTCCAAAAAGCTGAAAAGTGTAACCCAGAAACAGACTGGTAGGAGTGAGTGTGAAAACTTGCACCTCACTAGTGTTTAATAGAGACATTCATAATTGGAATCTGAAGATCAGATTTTTCTAGATTGCTGATTATCCACCCAAAGCTTAACAGACACCCAGAACTCATTGCAAGTATACCTACTCATATCGACTGTCCTCCTTTAAATACTTGTTTAAAATTTATTGCTCATTATAACAGTGATCTCCAAAGAAAGATATGTATGCTTTCAAGTATAAGCAAGATAATCCATTAGGCTACAGGAAGTAAGGAGTAAAGCTTCTATTTATATGTGCTTTGCATTTCATCCCTTTTAAACTTTTAAATTTTTTGAGTTTTGTTATGTATTTACCATTAGTGTTAAATACATGTAGCACACACAGTAGCACATGTACACTACTTAAACTTTTTAAAATATATACT